CAGCTATCGGGTAAATGCTGAAAGATCAGAGAGGCAAAGGAGCAAGCCACAGCCACCTCTTACCTTGCTAACTCCTCAGCCAAAAAGAGGACTGAGTTCCTGTCTACTCCCGCCTTACATCCCTCTCTCTGCCCAGCCATATCACTTCCTGTCTGTCCAGCCCTCCAGACCTCTATGGTTAACCAGTGGCTAGCCTGCCCTTTGATCTTCAGGCCGGCTTTATTTGTTAGAATATGAACAAGTTACCCCCACACCTGAGCAATTCCAGTTATTCTGGAGACACCAGAAGATACAGTAAACTGCTTATTGATGTCTTAGTGGGGGATGTTTCCTGACACCAAATGCTTACTCAGGAACTCCAAGTTCCAAATTTTTCTGACGCATTGTCACCTCCAGTTCCATTGATGCTTCTGCCTCATTCGTCCTTTAAATTCCTTAAGAAATCGATGGAGCTCTTCCCTTACAGGAATTCCCTCTTCCACCTTACTCCACCCTTACCCCACCCTTACTCCACCTTACCCCACCCTTACTCCACCTTACCCCACCGTTACTTCACCTTACCCCACCCTTACGTCAGCTACACTCTTGAACCTATGCAGCTGAACGTGTTGTGGAGAAAATCCACAATCACGTTAGATCTGAATTTAAATTCATTCCCAGAATTCCAGTAAACTCCCACTGAATCCAAAAATCCTGCTACATTTCTAAGTCCATTGACATTATCTTCTAATTATGTTCTGTCCTGTCTGCTAAAATTTCCAGGTCTCCCTTATCCTAACCTGAAGCTGATGGCATTCCTTTGTATTGCCCTGAAAAAAAAAAATCTTCAAACTGATAGAAGAGTACGTTCAAAAGTTTGCATCATTACTTCCAACGGCCAACCCCCATCCATTCCCGCCTGTGTTCCTGTGGAATTTGTAGCTGTTCCCTCAGGCCAGTGGTTCTCAACCTGCCTGATGTGGCGACCCCCCAGCCATAAAATTATTTGTGGCTTCGTTACTGTAATCTTGCTACTGTTAGGAATCATGACTAGTGAGATATCTGATATGTTGTGACCCACAGGTTGAGAACTGCTGCCTTTCTGCATTAGTGTTCCATCTCCGCCGTGTTCCTGCTTAGACAGCTCTCATCCCTCTTGTGCTCAGTGCTCCCGGTCTCACCTGCTTAACTTCTCAGAATTTATCCTCCCTCCGTGCTCCCTGCAACAGTCATTTAAAAGGCCCCAAACGGCCTGTGTGTTGCCAACTCCGAGGTTCACTTTCCAGCCGTCATTTGGCTTGTATCACTAACAGTGGATTGCTGTCCTTGAAAACTTTGCTTTTTTTCACTGGCTCTTCTCCCGACCCGAGTCTAGTCTCCACCTCCACTTTAAGTTCCTGTATTGTGTGTGTGTGTGTGTGTGTGTGTGTGTGTGTGTGTGTGTGTAGATTAATGTGAGTCTCTCCTCTCACTTTCCTTGTATATTACCTGATTGGTTTTTCAGCCCAGACCTCTTCCCCAGAACTTCTTAACATTTCAACTCCTTTCTTGTTAGGGAAACAGTCTGGTGTTTTCCATAGCAGTTGCACCAAACTGTGTGTGTGAAACGTCCCACAGGTACCTAAGGTTTTGTTCCTCTGTAGTTGTCCAGAATTGGCCATTGCATTCTCATTTTATGACAGTTATCCTAACTGGTTTTAAATTGAATTTCCTTGATCGGTGGTCACCCTGCGCATTTTCCCAGGCACATTTTAGCCTTTGCATTAGTGTTCAAGCAATGTCTATCCAGGCAAGAGTTTGTCTGCAGAACAAATATTTGCTGGAGTCTAGTAAATATTTAACAAACAAGGCTTTTTGACGTGAATATATATATATATATAGTTATATATATGAACACTATTGAAATAAGTAAAACAAAATTAAGTAAAAACTGAAATTAGGTAAAGATGAAAAAGTGAGCTTCAGGCTATTTTCTGACTGGTTTCCCCCGTGGAATTCAGCCTTCTTTAAGAGGTGGATAACTGAATACTAATTGTGGTTTTCTGGTTATTACTAGTTTCCCCCACTAAAATCAAAGTGGGAAAGAGGCATACATGATGGAAGGAGCAGAAGAGTGAATATTCTACAGTGAACCATTCAGTCCATTCAAGTGCAGACGGGAAAGGTGCCCCCTTCATTTTACCCTTGGTCACTGAAATAAATTTTCATTACAAGCAATTTCCAATTCTTCTACTTCCACATTCTCTCAAGTGTGTTCTAAGGCTCAGTCTCTTGGCATGATAGTGATGGAATTCACTGAATTTAAACTCAAATCTCCACTGATTAGAAGAGTTATCTGTCTCAAATTCATAGTAGAGATGAGCCATCACTAAAGTAGCACTTGTCTTAGAAGCAATATGGTCGATTATAAGAGTATGACTCCTTGTGTGTTTAACTTCATTTCTGAAGCTTTAGACTTACAGAAAAATTGCAAAACAGATGGTACCAAGTGTCAATTTTATCTAATTATCTAAAAGAATTAGAGAAGCAGTTTTGATAGTTTTTTGTTGTTTGTTTGTTTGTTTTTGGTTAGGTCAGAATACCACGTGGACTTTGAGGAACAAGACCAGAGAGAGATGGGTGTCTTTTTTTTCACCCTACTATATCAGAGTGCACATGATCATCATGATTTTCATTACCCAGAGTGGGCAATGCCTATTACTTTCCAGCACCATTAATGTATACCTTCTCTGTGCTGTTTATTTTTGTCACCTCAACATAAGCTAGGGCATCTGAAAAGAAGGAACCTGGTTTGAGAAGATGCCTCCAAGGTATTGGCCTGTGAACTTGACTGTGAGGTATTCTCTTGATTAATGGTTGATGTGGAGGGTTCAATCCAGTGTGGGCAATGCCACACCTGGGCAGGTTAGTCCTCAGTTGTATAAAAAATCAAGCTGAGTAAACCAAGAGGAAGCCAGTAAGCAGCATTCCTCCATGGTTGGAGTTCCTGCCTCGGCCTTGATGATAGACTGTAACCTGGAAGCCAAATAAACCCTTTCCTCTCCAAGCTGCATTTGGCCCTAGTGTTTTATCACAGCAACAGAAACCAAACTAGGGCACCCTCCTTTCCTTCACTACACCTTGAAATCAAGTCATAAAACCCATGATGAAATTGGTGCTACAGTTACAGAGAGGGATTAAAGTCCACATGGAGAAAAATGGCTTTCGTTATTGTTTGGTTGTTTTTGTTTTCAATTTTCCCCTGTAATGCTGGAGATCACACACAGGGCCTTGTGCATACTGGACAAATACTCTGCCTCTAAACTACATTTCCAACCCATTCCTCCAAAAATAATGTTTTAAACTAAATAATAGTAATAAGTGTTTTTGAGCTAGGATCTCATGTACTTTAGACTGTCCATAAAGTTACTAGGTAGCCAAGGAAGACCCTGACCTTCTGAAAGCCCCTAGTGCTAGAGTTACAGATATGTGCCATTATGCCCAACATATGCCTTGCCGGGGACTAATTCCAGGGCTTTGTGCTGCTCGGTAAGCACTCACAAATGAAGTGCCATTCCAAACTCTAGTAGCACATCTTTTTCAGTATCATAAAAAGATACGGTACACATCAAGGCATTTGGTCATAGTCCCAAGTGCTCACTTAAGACTTTCAGCCAGGGCTTTCAATTAAGGTCTTCACAGGAGTTTATAATAAAGACGCCAAGAGAAGATGCAAATATTACATGTCAAAAAATCAAATTCAGTTTTAGGGATGAATATTTTCCTAAAAATACTTGACCAAAACACTGAAATCGTGAAAGAATTTCAACAAGAAGAGATGTGTGTGAGGTGAGGGTAACAAAGCGAGAAAAGAGCAAGAACAAAGCGAGAGGGACAAAAGGCCGGTTTTAAAAGCCCAGTTTCAGACAAAAAAAAAAATATATTAAAAGGCAGGAACATTCGAGTACATAAACTCTCATTTATCCCATGTTGGCTTTTGAACAAAACGGAAATGTTCATTTCATCAAAATCTTCAGTAAGACACGTCTTAGCATAAATATATGGTTCTATAACAAACTGCTCCGAAAACTTATACTGAAGACTTAATCCCTAGACTCTGGAGATTGCTGTTTTAATAATGAGGTTTTTAAAGGACTTTATCAAACCTGGCAGGTGCAGACAGGCACAAGGAAAAAACCACGGGAAGACGCAGACTACCATCTACAGGCCGGAGAAAGAATACTCAGAAACGTCCAGCCCCCTGTTCTTTAGGAGACTCCCTATTCATCTACACGGCAGTCAAATGAAGTGTCCGGGCAAAGTTCTCAACCGTTGTTACGTATTTAAGCCTTGTTATTTAGTTCTTTCGGATCATTAGCGATGTGTGAAGTAAAATGAGAGACTCGATGAACGCGGAGAGCTTCATAAACATCTTTAGATCCTACCAGTGCAAACGTGTCTCCTCTAAGTTTGTTCATTCGAACACCAGCACAGATTCTGCTCTAAAAATCTCCACCCCTCCAAGCAAGTAGCTTCTGAAGCTTTTGCGTATCTCCCTTACAGCTTTGTGACATTCCCCATTACAGTAACTGCCACCTCCAACGGTTCATCACTACAGGTTCCCCAGGGACCCTCTATTCTGTCTCGAAGCGGGTGACAAGGCTGGGGTGCCTTAATGGGCATTTGCTAAGGGTGATCTCTTCCTAGCCATGGCCAAAGCGACTGGACTGACTGCACCCAGGAGGTGCATTCCCCATGAAAACGATTGGAGGAGGTCTGCGCGTCACCGCGGCTCGCGCTAGCCATTTCTTCCGGGCCTCTGGGATCGCGAAACCCTCGCTGCGCTGCATCGCACGAAAATCCGTAAGAGATCAGACCGAAAAGGCGCCCAGAGGCGCCAGAGCGTGCGGAAAAAAGGATCCCGGGGAGGGCAAAGGCGCCGCGGACAGCTCCCGGGGGCGGACAGAGGCGGCGCCACCGGAAGTGACGTCTCGGGAGGCCGCAGCGCCAAAAAGGTGGATTTAGTGTCCACGTACTCAGAAAAGAACGCCCCGGGACGAAGAAATGTCTGCCTTGCGGTCGCATCAGCAAGGAGACTTCAGACAACGCGAGAATTTTGGTTTGGGATTTGTTCTCCTCCTCCTTCCGCCCCACTTCATTACCGCCCCCAATGCGTGTGGACGCATGGTCTGAACCCATCTCGCCTAAGCCAATCAAAATGAGTGGCGCGGGAGAGGTTCGGAAAGGTCACGTAGGCCACGCCCTTGTCGCGCAGGCTCTCGGGAAAACGTCAACGGGATTATAAAAGCGCGCACGCCGCGTGTTGAAGCCTCTTTCGGCGTACTTTGGCTTGGTGTATATCTTGCTTCTGTTCCGATGTGACCGTTTGGCCCTCATTTGTGAGCGGCCAAGATGCGGGCGGAACGAGGCCGTTGCGGTGCAGACCGCCGGCCGTCAGCAGCACCGGACCCTGCTGAGGGCTAGCACGCGGGGCACAGCCGTGTGAAGCGGCGCCACCCGAGGACCTCCACTATCACGGATGGTGAGTTACACCTTCGGGAGTGAACCCAGTTTCTGGCTTGTGAAACTCCATGTGTCTTTGGGACCTGCCAGCTGTGGCAGTCTCCCTTCCTAGGCATGGTAGAGCATGTACTTGTTATTGGCAAAGCTGTCACCATTTAATTGGGATCAGATTCTGACTTGAGCAAGTAACATTCGAAGTTGCTAATGAATCTGCGAGGTGCCCGGAAAGTGGACATACTTCTCTAAACTATTGAAATGTTTCTAGGTAACACCTGAACTCTTTGCTGTTTGGTGATGGAAGACACGTTCAGGTAAGTTTCATGTTTTGAATGTTTTCGGGATTCCGAGTAGTGAGAAGGCCTTCATGGGTTATTGTTAGGCGAGGTCTATACGTGCGCTGACATTCTGTAACTTAGATGATAGCCAGTTCTATAGAAAGTTGGTGAACTGTAGGGTCTCGGGACGGAGGGGAATACAGATAGTCTGTAATATTGGCTTTCTTTTCTTGCAGGTATTGTTAATGGAAAGTAGTAGTGGCTGAGATCTTCCGGGACCCTTACAGGTGATCTTCACATTTAAATCTTGGTAATGGGCATTGTGAATGTTAATATAGTACTGTTTTCAGTGTGTGGCCTTTATTTCATATGAAGTTTTTCATAAACCAAATAAAGCTTGGTTGGTGATTAATGAGATCGTGTTCTATTTATTTCTGGGACTGCATGAGTAAGGTAACCAAAATACCTGAGGGGAGAGTCTCATTACTGTATATTATGCAAAGGTTCACTGAAGACTTGTGTGTCGGTTTTGTTCAAGCTTTGGGCTTGTGCAAACTACAAGTTAACGCCTGTTATGTTTGTCATTTGCTGGCCTTAGCATTTTCAGGGTAATTTAGTTACACAGGCAGCCAATGGATAGTTGCCTTTATAGAGAAATGAGTGTGTGCGTTGCACGCTGCTCCCCAAGCCTTTCTGTCAGCTTGTACCATGTGAGCATGGGGTTTTAGGAAAACAGTGCATTTGATCTTGATGTCCCCAAAGTAAAGAATAATAATACGGCACCTTTTAGCAGGACATGCTTTTGCCTACTGGTACCTAGTTCTTTATAGTCATATCAAAGTGGATGGCAACCTTAAGAATCTGGCATTTGAGAAGGCTCTGGCAATAGTCTTGTAATCTTACATAGGGGAACTTGGGAAACATACCAACATAGGAACTCTAACTTGAAATACAGATTCCCATTTGAAAGGGGCCACTGGCTTCCCTATTTATCAGTAAGGTGTATGGCTACATCTTGTCGTCCGTTTTATGTTGTATGCATATTTTTTTACCCTAGTATAAAGTCTGATTGTGTCAGGTTGGTTCTGAGAAACCTGTAGGCTTATTGGCAAGTGCCCAGTAGGTGGCACTCTTGTACCATGTCCAAAAGGCAGTGTAGCGTGCACTCGTTCTTTAGCTGCCTCCAGTGTTCTGGGGAAAAGATTTTGGTAGTAGCTTATAGAATGCTAGGAGTAAATCAGTAAAAGATCTATTCCAACTTAAGTTCGTCCCTTTCTGATCTCTGATTGCAGCGTGCTAAGGAGATCAGCTATGAAAAGTCAAACTTGATGTGCCAGTCTTAGTGTAGGTAAGATGGTCGAATTTGGGCACCTGATTGTACGCAGTTACTTAATCCATGTTTATAAACTTAAAAAAGTTACAATAGGCAAGGGTGGTAAAGTAAAGCTCAGTATTACACTGAATTAAGTGCTTGTACCCCAAGACTGCTGGAGGAGGGATCTCGGGCTCCAGAAGTTGTCTTCTCTGGTTTGGTGCCAAATATGGAGACTAAATATTTCCCATCAGTTTCTTTACTGAAGCCTTCCATAAAATTTACAGTCCGGTGATGCTTTTTATCCAAGGTACAAATGCAGGGACTCTGGTGTAAACACCTGGAGTATCCTTGACTCCACAGCCATACCCCCAGGAAGTCACCCCATATACAACCCAGGTCTCATCAGGTCTTTCACACATGAGTGGTCCTCCGCTGTCTCCCTGGCAGCTGTCCACACGATTGTTTTCCTGGAGGTTTCCAGCACAAAGCATTCTTTGAGTAAACAGACCCTTGTAACGCTCTTGACAAAACCTCTTGGGTAGTAAAGGTACAGCTGCTTGTTGTAGGGTTCTTGAGTAAGCACGTCCTGCTCAGACCAAGGAAAGATGAGTTAGATTGCAGCTAATGGTCACATTTAACACATGTGAACATTAGTGATCTTAAAATACTGCATCATTGATGGGATTTCAGAATGGGGGCTACTCCTAAATAAGGTGGGAACTGTTTAACAGGGATGTGGTATTGTATAAAGGGGTTCAGAAAGAAGTGCAGTTTCCCCTGTAAACAGGCATAATTCTTACCACCTGATATAATAGTCTACTTTCTGATGGGCTGTTATTTGGAAAGGCGTAAATGTACAACTGGAATGTCCTCCACATTCTCTTAGTCTACTAAATGGAGCCAACTAGACAGCCATCCTAGAAAATGGACTGTCCTGGTCATTCGATGTATCCAAAGGAAAGCAAAGGGTTGTAAAAACAGTAGCCTAGGAGTGCTTTGCTGCTAGGGAGTAGCAGGCAAGTCTGACTGGCTCCATAGTGAGAATTGATAAAGCACGTTTTCAACACCTAAAAAAAATAGGCTTGCTTGACACTTTTTTCAAGAATGATTATCAATGATTTTTTTAAATAGCCACTAGCCTAAGATTTCTTACTTGATACTACATTTTTTTCAGTTGAGCACCTATTGCTAGTGAGGCTTTGGTCTATCTTAAGGCCTGTCCTGGAGTACATTCTCATTGATGGGCACTAGTTTGTCACCACTGCCTCAGCCAGATAATGAAGCAGCTACATTCACCTCAGAACCCATGGCTGCTTAGGGGCTGGAGTAGGAAGGAGAGGGTGAGAGAAGTTTTAAATGTTTCTCTTCAACTTTAGTCTAAGAAGCTTTGCTGTTTTCTGGCCAAATTTTATTAGGAAATCTCCTTTAAAATCAGCTTGATGAAGGTTCCTGACAAAAAGAACAACAAAAAACTCAAAGCCCTTTACTGGGTCAACTGTTAAAATCTGGAAAGCTTTGGAAACTACATAGTATTCTAGATTGAATTCTTGGATTTGGCCTTTAAACCCCTCTGCTGTCCTCTCTGGTCTGGGTGGTGAAAAGTGGTAGAACACTTTCTACCCTATTGGCAGGTGAGTTCTATCAGCATTTGCACCAACACACTCAGGATGTGAACCTAGGCTGCGTGTGTACATTTCACACCTGGCAGACTGAGTCCCTCTAAGGTTCTGCCACTGCACACCCTACCATATATCCACCAGACAGGAAGCTGCCCAGTTTTCCTAGTGTGCCTCTTTTTATATTACCTGTGTCTCCCCATCCTGTTATGTGACAGTTAGAGGCTGTTTTCTGTGGCCTCTCTCTCCACAGAGGCAAACAGGCTGGCAGAACGTGGCTGCTTAGTCTGGCACATTGTTCCCCTACTCCCTGTAGTCTAACCAGGGCGATGTCATAGTCACTGCTGTCTGGCCGGTAGTTCCTGTGAATCACAATCTGCTGAACCCCTATTTCCTCTTCAAACTCCTCGGGTACCAAAGTATGGTAATCCCCAACTCGAACTGCATAGCTTCTCGTGTGGTTCCCATACCTGAAAGGAAAGAGCAGGATGTGAGGCTTTTTCAGATAAGGGAACTTGATGGTTGACAGCTAGGGGTGTTAAAATAGAGCAAATAACTTTTATTCCAAGTCATGTCCTCTTCCCATGGCTGTCATCCTACTTTGACTTCACCAAGTCTAGATAACTATTTCTGACTATTTCCTGGGAAGTAGCAAATGTGGAGAGGGAGTGGAAAAAATAAGGAAGGACAAAGCATCAGGTTGTCAATCCCTTATCAAAAGGAAAAGTCTCCAAGAGGAACACAGTGTAACACAGAACCTGGTTTGCAATATTCACATGTGTGGAGGCATAAACATGGCTGACCTGCCTGTGTCCCTGAGCTCGTGCAAGCTCAGGAAGAAGCCTCAGTTCATTATCCAGAGTCAGGTGCAACCAAACTGTCAGCAGATGCTCACTGTATTGCTTTACTTTGATGTCACCTCCATGAAGCTCACATAGGCACCCTGTTTATACTGCAACCCTCCCATTCTGGGTATACTCAATCTATTGTACTTTAACTGTATTTTCTTTCTTGCACTCTTCATCAGTCTTAAACATTTTCTAGTTTACTATTTAACCACCTTGTGAAGTTACCAACTATTCCTGAGATGAGACTTCTGGGCCCAGAATATACTAGCCAGCCCACCTTGTTACTTCCTCCTCAATGAAGATTCCAGCTGTTGTTCACTGCCTGACCTCTACTGACAGCAAGAACCAGGGCTTCTGGAACTTTATTTGTGTATGACCCGAGATAAAAATGTTAAATGTTAAAAATAGACATTTAGTGGTAGTAAGTCATGAGTTTGTTTTAAACAATTCTTTGGTGTGCGTTTAACTTTGCCACTTAACTAAAGATGAAAACAAGCTTATGTACTAATGTGATGGATATGTTCTTGTATTTTTACATAAAGAATAAAAGCTTAGCTGATCTTCGAGCATCTTCAACACCTTTCAGGGTTGATTAACATTTTATTTTGTATTGTTATTTTAAGACAGGCTCTCACTGTATAGACAAGGCTAACAGGGAACTCACTATGTTTAGCCTCAGATTTGCACCTATCCTCCTGCCTCACCCTTCACAGTGCACTACCACATTCAAGTCCGCAACCACAGTTTTTCAAAACTTCGAATCTTTTCTTTTTGCCTGCCGAAGACAAACCCTGGTTTCTAGCAACTATATTCATATTTCATGCTGGCATCTAACTGCTGGGGAGAAAAATGTTAACATTCATTTTTCAGTGTTGAAAACTCTTAATTTTTTTTTTCTCCACAAAATGTGAAAGTTGCACAGTGTCCAAGACCTCCACTTGAATTTGGGCTTAAAAGTGTTTATACTCAGTAGTTGGCTGGTAGAAATCTGGAGGCTGGAACTGACTCCGGACTGCCTTATTTAAATAGAACCCCATTTACTCCTGTGGGAGGAGAGGTTTGAACCTTCTGTCGGCCCTGAGTAAGGCACTGACCATCTTGTATAATTATGCAGCTATCAACTGCATAACACGAGGTTCCTGACATCTCTCCATTTTTAGCCCAAATCATTATGTCTTTAAAGTTCAGAGAGTTTTTCCCCCTTATGCCAAGTATGCTTCTGCAGATTCATTACAAAATGTAAAATTAATATTTAAAAATAAATTTATCTTAGAATTTTCTAAACTGTTATAAAAAACCACACAGCAGGGCAGGTGTTGGTGGCGCATCCCTTTAATCCCAAAACTCGGAGGCAAAAGCAGTTGGATCTCTGAGTTTGAGGCCAGGCTGGTCTACATAGCTAGTTCTAGGACAGCCAGGACTACATAGACCCCATCTTAAAAATCAAACCAAACTTAAAACACACACACACACACACAGAAAGAAAAATACGCACCAAAATTAACTGGACCCAAAGTCTATTCATCTTAATTATTTGAATAATTTGAACAATTCTGAAGCTATGGAGCTTTACATCAGACTTACTTTATCAAATATATCTTTTCTTTTTTTCAAGACAGGGTTTCTCTGTGTAGGCCTGACTGTCCTGGAACTCATTTTGTAGAACAGACTGGCCTCAAACTCATAAAGATCTGCCTGCCTCTGCCTCCTGAGTGTTGATATTAAAGGCATGCACCACCACCATCCGGCTCAAATGTATCTTTAGGTACTTACCCATCATCAAAGATAAAAATCCATGACAATTAAAGCTAAAAGAACAATTAACTTTATATCCTGTTTTGTTTTGTTTTGTTTGCTATAGGGAGTGAAGCAACAATAAACATGGGGGCTGGAAATATCTTTATGATATTTGAGTTCCATTCAATTTTATAGTTGAGTTCCACAGTGGCTAAGTGTTTCTTCCTCTCTCCATCCTCTCTTGCATTTGCTGTCAGGTGTGTTGATAGCCATTCTGACTCCAGTGAGGTGTTATCTCAGCATAGTCTTGCCATTTCCCTGATGTCTAGCCTTTCTTTTCCTTTAAAAATGTTCAGTTCAGGGGGTTGGAGAGATGACTCAGCAGTTAAGAGCATTGCCTGCTCTTCCAAAGGTCCTGAGTTCAATTCCCAGCAACCACATGGAGACTCACAACCATCTGTAATGAGGTCTGGTACCCTCTTCTGGCCTGCAGGCATACATGCAGACAGAATATTGTATACATGATAAATAAATATTTTTTTAAAATGTTCAGTTCATTTGCCTATTTGGTATTGAATTTCTGCATTTCCTTGTACATTCTGGGTCTTGGCTCACTGTCTGAAGTATAGCTGGTAAATATTCTCTGCCACACTGCGGGCTGTCTGTTCTGCTGATGGTTTCATTTATTTCTATGTAGTCCTTTCTTTTGATACTGGGGTTTAGGAAGTCCCTGTCAGAGGACAGCCTTGAGTCTTGTTCCTTGGGTGCCTCCCACTTTTTGTTTAACAAGGTCTCTTATTGGCCTGGGTCTTCGCCAATTAGGACAGCAAGCTGATTAGTTAGCTCCTGGGATCTGCCTGCTCTCTCTCCATCCTTGGTATACAAGCATGCTTTATGGGTTCTGGGGATTTGAACTTAGGTCCTCATGATTATGAGGTGTGGTGGTCTTAATATAATTAGCCCCCATAAGCTCATAGGGCACGGCACTACTGGGAGTTATGGCTTTGTTGGAGGAGGCATATCTTGTGGAGCCAGGCTGTGAGGTCTCATATATGCCCAAGTTATGCCTAGTATGTTAGTTAACTTCATGTTACTTCATAAGATATAGGACTCTAGCTACTTTTACATTACCATGCCTGCCTGCACTCCGCCATGTCCCACCATGATGATAATGAACTGAACCTCAGAACTGTAAGACAGCCCTAATTAAATGTTTTCTTTTTAAGAGTTGCCATGATCATGGTGTCTCTTCACAGCAATAGAAACCCTAACGCATTAGGCAAGCATTTATTATATTAGATTAAGGCATCTTTCCAGCTCAAACTCCAATTCTTAAAATGGATTATTCTGCTTGAGATTTGAGGGGCATCTGATAAAAAATCTTGACTAGTTTTCCAACCAAGTATTTGTCTACTACTACGTCCTAGTGGGCATTATGAAGAACTTCAGAGAGGAAACCGTATCCTGGTGTATTTCTTGATGTCAAAGACGTGTGGCTCAAGGCTTCTCCAGAAAACATAAAGGAAAACTTTTTCATGTATTTTAGTCTTCCTAGCTTAGCTGAATTTGTGTTGTATTGTTAGATGTATAAAAAAAATCTTTCTAAAGCAAAACATTCTAAGTTTTGGCTGGCATGAATGAAAATTGGATGAAACTCCCAAACGAGTTTGTGCAAAAGAGGATCTGAGACCAGGCAACCCAGGAAATCTAATATTAATAATCCCAGTTTCTCTGGTTTTATCATTAAGATGAACAACAACAAATTCCTAGAATTGAAAAGTGAAGAATTAGGTTAGTTTTAGGGCCAGATGTAGAGAACATTTATGTTTTTTCTCTATGTAGAGTCATCTCTCAAAAATACCACAGTGTCTTAATATCAGCCTGTGCACATCGCTGCCGCTAGAATCTGGATTAAACTGAGAACATCCTTCACTACAGTCGCCTGTACTAATGCTTGTCATTGCCGTGGAAGAAGTCATCTTCCTGGGATCTTGCACTGTCCCTGACAGATAGGCAATGCGTATGCAGGAAACAGCTTTGGCATGATTCAGTGTCCCAACAAAGACCATGTTCTTCAGAACTCCATCATATAGAAGAGCATGAGAGAATGCATTTGATTTGCTGATAATTAGACACAACTCTTGTTACCTCTGGGACTAATCTTTCTAATGATAAGTATTTACAGAGTCCACCTTTTGCACAGCAGTAATCTCTGCTAATTTGTAGTTGCTGTGGTATTTCCAGGCAAAAAGTCAAAGAGATAAAATCTGGAAAAATAATATTCTTGAGCAAATTAAATTGGAGTAGACTTACAGCAATAAGAAAACCCTTGTTTCACATGCATTAATTCTTCCAGAATTGTGTTTGTAATCAATATGGGAAGTTAACAGGAATTAAAATGGACAGAAACTTTTCTTAATTGTATTTCTGTGCCTCTGTAGACACAAGGTCACTTCAGAGTGCTTTGTAACAATAATTTACAATAAGAAATAGCAAAAGCAAGTAATTTATACCACAAACGACTCCAAATAAATTTATATATATAAACCATTAATTTACTTCAACTTCTACTTAAAATTGCTAGCAGCATACCAATATCCCAAAATGTCACTGTTTTAACAGTAGAAAAAAATGAGGGGAGGGGGCATGATGGTGCACAACTTTAATCCCAGCCCCGGGGAGGCATCTGTGAGTTTGAACCCCATGGTCTATACAGTGAGCATGGAGTGAGCTACAGGAAATCACATTGCTTCTAACGAGGGGCACACACCTTTTGAAACAGTGCGCAGCTGTCAGGACCCAGCAGCTACTCAGAAGGGTGGCTCCACAAAGCAGCCGGCCATCTCCATGGGACGACTTCAGTCGGAGGGAAGCCTGCCAAGGCCAAGCACCCCTAGAAGTCAAGCCACACATTCAAGAGAGGAGAAGAGGAAAGAAAGCATCAGGTAAAACTTCAGTGCAGGTGGAGGGAAGGACTCAGCTGAATGAAGCCATTAGGTTCTTCCTACATGGAGAACAGTGTCCACACCACTCAATAGACCATTGATATCCATAAACCTGAAAATTTGCTGAAAGGCATCTCTATACATTTCACTCATCTCCAACTCTCTTAGAAGCAAGCTGTCTTCTTTAAATTCCATTGGTCCAGTGTAATCTCTCTTCTTGCCCTACTTCAGATGCATAGGTAACCCACCTAGCCTAAGGAAGTACTGGCTTCCCACCAGGGAATTAAAATTAAAATTTCATTTTAAAAATCACTCTACTGATGCGGGAGAATTGTCTGTATTCTGTCAATCATATTTTAATAAAACGCTGATTGGCCAGGCAGGCAGTATAGGTGGGAAAACCAGACAGGAAGTAGAGGTGATGCAATGAGAACAGGAGAATTCTGGGAAGCAAGGAGGTTCCTCTGCCACTCCTGCGCAGACCACCGAAGAGGCAGCATGTAATGTGCCCAGCTGAGAAAGGTATGGAGCCATTATGGCTAACATAGATGAGAATAATGGGTTAATATAAGTTATAAGAGTTAACAAGAAGCCTGACCTAATGGGCCAATCAGTTTATAATCTTATGGAGTCTTGTGCGTGATTTTCTTTGGGGCCTGCCTGCTGTGGGGTACTGGGCGGGACAGATACCCCAACAAGCCAGCCCCACATACTGCACTCTACTAGGAAGCAAATATGCCTTGGCACCTGTGCTTTCACACACACACACACACACACACACACACACACACAGGCACACACACACATGTAATGAAACATAAGATAAAAATTGTAACTCAAAGATCTCACTTTATAAGAAAACTCGTGATCTTTTCAATGTTCAAATACTATACAATGATGTGTTGATTTTTGTCTCATAAATATGACACTTTACAATGTAAATGAGCATTAAGTAATGCTATTATTTATATTTGTCTTAAATTTTAACTTGTAGGCATGGAATGGAAAGAACATGAAGGTTTCAATCCACAGTGTCTTTTAAGGTTTATATACATCAAATGTATATTTCTGATTTAGAGTAAGCCAACACTGTAATTTTTCTTGGCTTTTCAGTCATGAGTTTTCCTTGTGTGTGTGTGTGTGTGTGTGTGTGTGTGTGTGTGTGTGTGTGTGTCTAGGCCAGAGAGCAGTTTGTGGGAATCAGTTCTCTCCTTCCATGAGTTCTGGGGGACTGAACTCAGGTCACTAGGTTTGGTTACAAGCACCTTGACCCTAGGAAGCCATGCCACTGACCAGTGCAGAAATTTATGAGGAATGATAACTTCTAAAGGAATGGGTATAAATATTTACACTGATTTTTTAAAAAAAGAACCCAATTCTCCTCCATTAAATGGCTCTTCCCGGTTACATATTTTGTTTCTGCCACATTTTGTGTCAGAAACATATACCATGAGTCACAAAAACCATGTGCATCAAAGGGCAGGAAAACTGGGCTGAAGAGATAGCTCAGTGGTTAAGAGCACCAGCCACTCTTCCAGGTTCAATTCCTAGCACCCACATGGCAGCTCACAACTGTCTGTAACTCCAGTTCCAGGGCATCTGCACCCTTGCACAGATGCACATTCAGGCAAAACACCAATACACACAAAAACAAGTAAATCTTTTTTAAAAGGCAGGAAAACTATCAGTTTCCTGGTAGTTTTTACTTAATTGATAAGTAGTTTATAACTCTTTACTTAATTAATAAAATGATAAAACAAGCTCCATGCATAATAAAAGGAAACCGTGGGTCTGGAACAGTTGTAGAATACACATGTATTAATAATCCTGTATTATCAAAATCTGCTTGAAGAGTCTTTTACTACCTTAAAGAATTGTTCCCACCAATGATCCGTTTCTGTCGACGATGCAATAATCTCAATCCACACCCAGATGAGAGCTCTGAAAGAAGAAAGGGGTTACTAATACCTGCCACCTGACCCCAGTACATCCTCCTCTCTATTTAAATTTTCTCAAGGAGCCTATAGTCCATGACCCCAGAGAAGCTAAGTAACAAGGAGAAGCCTAGGAGAAACATACATAGATCACCCCTGGAAAGAGAAAATAGACAAGATCTCCTGAGAAAATGGAATGTGGGGGAGAAGGGAAGGCAGAAGAGGAAGAGGAGGGGAGAAGCAGAGGCGGGAGGAGAACTTGAGGGAATGGGATGGCTGAGGTGGAGAACAGAAGCAAGAACAAGTAAGAGATACCTTGACTGAGGGAGCCATTATGGGGCTAGCAAGAAACCTGGCACTAGAGACATTCTAAGGAATCCACGAGGATGATCACAGCTAAGACCCTAAGCAATAGTGGAGAGGGTGCCTGAACTGGCCTTGCCATGTGATCAGATTGATGACTATCTTAAATGTCATCATAGAACTTTCATCCAGCAACTGATGGAAGCAGATGCAGAGAT